AGTGCGCTTGAGCTCAGGTGGACTGACAAGAGTTTGAGATTCAGACGAGATAGATACGATGACACTGAAGATAAGGCCCGTCATGCTCAAACACACTTCACACCTCTGTAAAAGTAACGTTGGTGGTCGGTGATGAGAAATATACATGCGTGGCATGACTAAGAGTTAAATCCCTCTGTTCTGACTGTTTTCCATGTGAGCTTTCACATGAACTGCAAGGTTAAGTGGCAGATTTACGAGCACTCGTCCATCATGTGTGTTCAAAGTGGTTTCCTGTTGCTGTCAGACAGATAAACTTCACCTACGTAGAGAGAAAGACATGTGAACTAGTCTGTGTGGAAAACCCAAAATGTATTCTCGAGCCTCCTCTTGAAACATTTGTATACTTCAAAGAAATCCCAGCCAATCGATTTTGCTCTAATCTTTACAAGCCCAAAATGAAGCTTTAGCATGCCCACCCAGCGATCGAGCCACGAGAGACGGCGAGAGATGGCGAGAGCATGCTCATGACTCAACTGCTGTTTATCTGATTGCGTGAGGCAGAGACGACTAGTGTCCGCTAACAGGCCCGGAGGGACTGACGTGTTCGCTGAAGTGTCCGAAGCTGCTTCTGGAGTCTGCACTTCAGGCCACCTGGACCCTATCGCCACAAACACACTCACACATAAACACACACATACACACGACGCAGGCTTTTCTCGCCCTGAGCTGAGACTGCATCCCTGCTGTTGACCCTCAGTGGGCACTTTATGTGACAGGAAGCAGCTGCTGGTTAATGATGATGAAGCCTTCCAGAGGTTTGATCTGTGACGAGTCATCATCAGAGGAGTCTCCATTACGTCATATTCAGAAAAACAAAATCCCCTCCCTTCTATCTCATCTCCAATATCCCAGCAGTGAAAGGGTTGAAAATGACACTGTTCATCCTTGTTGTGAATTATTCATTTTCTCACCAGTAATTCAAAAATAGATAACCGCTAACCTTACTGTCTTTGCTGATGTAACACCCAGATGAGGGTTTCATCAAATGTGCACAATGCGATGGAGAGAGATATTGTTGTGCAGCTCTTCAAAAGAGGAATAATCTCCCACACATTTTCTATTTCTAAGTCAAAAATTCCCACGGGTGCTGGAATGCAGAGGAGGTAAAACACACACAACCGTGCGGGATCTACACACTCACACAGACATCAACACGCTGGGTGATAAGAATCACAAACACAAATGTGGAGGAACTGTTAATGCACCAACAGTGCTTCCACTCGCCACACTATGCATGTGGCAGCACACACTATACTCAGTTCGTGACGGCCTTTGAGTCGTTTACCTGCTATAGATGAAGCACGGTGTGTTGTTGAGCTTCCTGTCTGACTTGTACCTCCTGAAGTCCTCCCAGGCATCCTTCAAGGCCGTCAGAGACAGGATGACACAAATAGGAATAAGAGCTACCTCAGGCTGAAACGCATTCACCACAGGGACAAAGTTCAGAATAGCTAGGCCCACGAAGTAGAGGTTGGCCAGACGATGGAACTGCTCAAAGAGGTTCATGGGGATGAAGAGGAGCAGGGTGTATTTGGTGGTCTTGATGGCGTTTCCAAGAAAGTAGCGGTTGGGTTGCTTTGCCTTCTCTAGTCCCTCATAAGGCAGATTGGACACCAAGTTGCGGAGGTCCTTCTGCCTTGCCCTCTGACCTTCCAGAGCATCCCTGACCACAGCCAGGGGGCTCCTCCACGTCATGGCTGCTCCGTCTGTTTTCCTTTTGCCTCCTCTCACCAACTTCTCCTTCCCATCCTCTCAATATCAATCACTGTGGGTCGAAGAGACTCGTCTCTGGTTCATCCTCTTCCTCAGTGTTACAACTTCTGTGTGAGAGTGCGAGGCCTAATGCCAAGTTAAAACTGCACACCAAGCCCTCGTCTGAGTCCGCCTCTTGCGTTGACAGGTAAGTTTGCATTCCTTGAGTGAAGCTGTTGACTGTCCTCATGTAGGAGGGAAATAAAGGCAGCTAATTACACTCACTCATAAGCTGTGAGTTCTGCAGTGACTCAGCTCAATTTAATTTTTCCATCAATAATTTCATTTCAGCAGAAAGATTGAACCAGTAACACGATTTCAACCTATCCTTAGTAGTCCCTCAAGCCGCAGAAATGTGAGTCAGTGATACCTGATAAGAGTTTTAACTGCCATTGATACTTCATGTTGATGTTGCGCATGAAATTAAATACTCAAAATGTGCTGATACACTGAAAAAAAGACTCAAATGAGCTGACGGTCCAATATTTACAGCTGATAATTGGAGCAGTTGGGAATGAGGAGATCTGAACTGAGTCCACAATGTTGATAAATAAGGAAGAGATTAGTTTCTTCATTTATGCGCATAAGAAAATCCTGTCCCACCTACATACTGAGAGGTCAGAGGTCAGGGACAGAAGCCTACACAGTGGGCTAGGAGGATTTCTTGCTAATGGACACTCCAGCAGAGCAGGTGCAAAATGTTCATATTTACACACTGAGGGTAAAAACCTATGAGCCTGCTACCTCCACAGAATTGGGTAGATGGTAAATAGACTGCATTTATGTAATTGTTCTATTCTTATCGATTTCTCAAAGCATGAGTACAAGTCACATTCAATCATTCTTACAGCGCTTCAATATGCAGCACTTTTTCTATCAGAGACCATTCAAACATGTCAGCACAGCCTGATCCAGTATCTTTCCCAAGGACACTTAGGAACCGCTGATGCTCTCTGGGTGAATGAATGTGCTTGCATGCATGTACGTGAGACTCTTCTGTGTGATGCACCCCAACAAAGCAGCTTCTTACACAGATGGTATGCATGTAGGATGCCTTCCACTTCCTCATGTTGACATATGTTGTCTTTTCCAGAGCAGGCTGCTGAACCAGTTTAAACAGGACTGATTTGTACTGGGTTGCTCACTAATTGTGCTTGGATTCAAATGTACTCATTTAAAGTCATAATTATGTAACTACATGCACATGATTTGTGTTTGATACCGAACAGAAACAGCTTTGGAGAAATGGTTTTCAAATGGAGATGGATGGGCATGTGATGGACATTTTAAGGACGCCATGCACAGAATTGCAGGTGACTTATCAAGTTTCCGCTTTTAGTCCTTGAACAGATGACACGGGTTCATCTCTCCTGGCAGCTCGGCATGTTTTTCCATCAGCGACGTGTACGGCAGGGGAGCAGCGTGACACGTGTGTGCTAGACTCACCCTCTCACTCGTCCCAGTCAGCTTTGGCTGGGTTTGGTTTGGCTGGCACGCCGACTGCACAGTGGCGCAGCTGTGAGTCCACACTGCGCACACACACTCACAGGGAAACAAAAAAACACTCTTGCAAACAACACACACACACACATGATTCCATAGAGCAGAGGTCTGTACATTCCTAATTACTCCAGTGACATGGAAACACTACAAAATAAAAAGCATCTGCCTTTCCCCCCCTCTCTCACATGTCAACACTAATGCCCTTTTTGAGAAGAGGAAAAGAGAGAGAACCAATTTAGCACAAACCATCTGTCTACCACAGTGAGATAATACATCTGTTATACTGAGGGGGAACAGTAATGTAGATATGATAATTCTTGAGGAACTTGGAACAAGATTACATGTTGCGTTACATCCATTTTCACACCACTTTGCTTTTTTTATTTGCACTCAAAGTACTTTCTCCAATAAGCGTCTCTCTCTCTCTCTCTCTCTCTCTCTCTCTCTCTCTCTCTTTCACACACACATCCCTCTCTGTGTTACGTGTTATGTTGCCCTCCATTTCTTTCTGAGCTAATGAGTAAATTCCACTGTGGCATATTCAAGGTTTTCTGTGTCTCACATTTCTAATTCATATATGTCCATCAGCTTTTTCCACAGCTAAAACATTTTCCCTGCATTGGTATCTGCTCTTTTGTGTTCTTTCGTTCCTTTTATTTGTTCAAAACCAAACATTAGCTGCACATTATTCCCTCGTAAGAACAAAATCCCACTTTAAATATTAAATATTCAGTGTTTTGCACCATCAAATATTCAATAGCATCCATTTAAAGGCTGTAACAGTGGTCAGGTCAGGAAGCGAGTGCAGAGTGCCGTTACTATGCAGAGCGAGGGGAGGACACATGGAAAATTTGAGGCGTCGATGGATCGTTCTCTTTCTTGCCATTTATTTTCTTCTTCTTCCTGACCTTATTTTCTGACTCCTGGTGCCAGTGGCACAGAGTTGAGTCCACTGAGTGTGTCCATATCTATGACCCTCTGCATTAATGTCCCTTGAGGCCAGGGCAAGCGCTCGACCCTGCTCAGACCCTATCCGAGTCCATCCCAGCCCAGACCACTACTGTGGCCTCTGACTACGACTCCACCGCCTCTCCATCTAATATGCATCAAATTGTCCCCAGCTGCAGCCCTCACATATCTCTATTCACCCCTATATTTGCTTCCTTCACTCGCCTGCTCTCTCTCCCTGTGTCTGGTTTAGTTGTTCACTCGCTCGTTCAGACACTTAATCAGCCATGAGCTCGACAGTCAGCCATCAGCCTCACAGTCATGCAGAACACATAAAACCGCCAGCCGTGTACTCTGTTATTTAAGTGATAGACTGAATTGAGTTTTAATTGAATTTAGATACATCCTCATAATTGCTGACAATCATTACACAAGATATTTACAGTCATTATGAAATATTACAATTGGAATTTACAGAAACTTTGTACAAAATATGCCTGACTTCAATGCCTGGATATCGGGGTCCTTGTTAAGTTGTTTCTGGAGAACAAAACATTGACCCAAAAGTCACTGGTGTCTGGAAGTGCTTTAGTATCAGCAAGTAGATGCTTTTAAAGTCCTTTAAAAAGAAAGAAAAGAGAGAAAAGTCCAAAAAGTACAGAGTCAGCAAAGTTGTGAATTGTGTTTTCTTTTTTTTCCTCAGTTAAATTGCTCTTTTCTCTTTTTTTTGTCTGAATGGAACATTTGATCTGTAATTCAACTGCAAAAACAACAACAGAGAACCATTTAAATAGAATAAATTTGTAATATTTACACAATAATGTGAGTATTGATTTATAAAAATGAATCTTCTCTTTTTCTTTAAACATGATTTATGTTTATCTACAGTTTTTTCAAAACAGAAACCTAATCACAATGGAACGCATCATACTTCTATCATTCAATTCTACTGATGATGATTGTGGATTACCATATTTATGCAGCAACTCTGGTTGCAATGAAACTCAGCTCATCTATCAGCAATGTTCTTACACCAGCTTAAGTTGTGTTAAAGCATTTCTCCACCTCGAAAGCTCCTCACACGATGGCAGAAAGTACAGAGGAGTCAAATGTTCTCTTAAAAAAAAAAAAAATCACATGGTGAAATGGACTTGATTCTGTCAGCACAGCAAAAAGCAAAACATAAACTTGACCAAAGTGTCAGTGTCCAACAGTCCCGCTCTTTCACTGGATAATAAAGGACCTTCAACAAAACGAGGAAGCATATTATGTTCAGCATTAGCCCACAGGGATGTCCAGAGAGTAGAGCGCCCCCTGCTGTCCACCTGGTGTCATCCAGCGATGCTCAAAACCACTCACCCAGTTGGGCTGTGCCAAACCAAAGCTGCAGAATGGTAACTGTCACACTAAGCTCAAAGAGTAAAACTAAAAGGCTTTTGCGCTCCATCGTCATTATGACCGAGATGCAAATGAAATCAAACATAAGCATGCTTTTAAAGGATGTTTTTGATATACAGTAATTATAGGAAAATAGACTATCAAGGATGACTCCTTTAAAATCATTTATAAAGCTTTCCTGGATGCAGACAGCTCGGCTACGAAGTAAATAGATACTAAACAAAACAAATCCTTAAAGTATATGCAAACACAAGCATAAATATTTGATCCACAGAGAGTAAGCTACAAATGACAAATATTAGTGATATATTGAAATTCTGGAACAGGCACCATTTCTGTCTTTTTAAAACTTGCTCTTCTTTTTCGAGTGTTTGTCAGTCGTTTTAAGGTGTTTCCCAGTTCCTAAAAAAGTCACTGCTGACTGAAATGTTGGGTGCTGCTGCAGTCCATCCAAAAGTCTTTTGCATTCTCCTTACTTTTTTCTAAAATGAACCAGCTAAAAACGTTGGTGCACTGTTCATCTCTCATTCTCTCACTCACATCTCTCACCGCTCTTTCTTTATTTCTCTCACGTCCCCTAAAACCCTGTCTCCCTTCCCCTCCCCCCTTCTTTGCATTGCCGCCATTAGCTGGCCACCTGGACGCTGCCGGGTTTAATGGACGTAGTAGAGCCAGTAGACCACGTTGAAGAAGGAGAAGACGGTGGGGAAGATCATCCTGGACCACTTGTCAATAGAGTTCACGTCGGACAGGTCTGGGATGTTCACCTTGAGCTGGGAGGCCCGTCTCCGTAGGCGAGACTTCTTCTGGGCGTGGCGCTCCAAGGCGCTGTGGCCATAGTTCTGGCGGGCCATGGCTGCCCTGCGGTACTGCAGCGTCGAGCTATCATAGGCCAGCATGGTGTTGCGGGGGTCGCCGGGTGCTCCCAGGCCCCGGGAAAGATCCCCGGCACCACCCATCTCATTCTTCATTTCCAAGGTGCTGAACAGGATGTTGTCATCAGGAGTCATCTGGATGTAAAAACAGGTGGAGCCATGAGAAGTTACTGCCAAAGGGAAATCTTAGAGTGTCTTCAAATTCTAGTAAAACTATAAACAAGTATAGCTATGATGATCTTAATAATTATTCACTGTGTAAAAAATACTGATGAGGTGCTAGAATGGGCAATGTAAATGAGTCAAAAAGTGTTACTTACATGAAGAATATTT